GCGGGACTCGGGCAGAGCCACGCGGTGGCTCTTAAAGCGTCTGCTCTGAGGGAACGCGGGGCATCCATTCCTGTGTGGACGACTTTGGGTTGGCAACTTTGTGCATTAATTGTGGTCCCCCCCCCCTCCAGTCACTTTTTTAAAAGCTTTTGAGTATGCTTGTTGTTGAGGCAGGGGGAGGATTCAATGCCACCGCTGGACACGCGTCCCAGGGTCAAGGATCGGGTCTGCTTTTGCTCCTTAGGGTATCTCGCGATGAGGGTATCCCCGTGCTGGACGCACAGGGCTTCAGGGGTGCCCTTTGTACCAGGCCGCTCTGAACGAATGAATGGGTTTGTCTTCTCTCGTTCCGCACGGTCATTGATTCCTTCCGCGAATATTTACCGGGCTCCCCCTGTGCGGGCACCGGCATCCCACAGGCAAGAAAACACAATGAACCATCAGACAGACAGTCATGCGATACTTGGGATTAAAGGATGTTTTTCAGCAAACGTTTCTCACCGCGGCAAACGTCACGCGTGCACCGAGTAGAGACCAGGGCAAAAGGTGGGCCCCCTCCTCTTCAGCCAACCTGGTCAGTCTCCAGGTTTCCACCACTCTGGCCAGACCAGCCCTGCCCGCGATGGATATGGCCTCGATCCGCGCTGCCCCGGGACGGCGGCCACCGGCTGCGTGCGGCTGTTGAGCGCCTGGCAAGCGGCAAATGTGATCGAAAGGAAACGTTAGGGGCGCCTGGGTGGCTCAGTCCGCTAAGCGTCCGAGTCCTGCTTGCAGCTCGGGTCGTGATCTCAGGGTCGTGGGATCGAGCCCTGTGTCGGGCTCCGTGCTGAGTGTGGAGCCTGCTTCTTAAGATTCTCCCTCTTTCCCGGGCCGCCTGGGTGGCTCAGTCGGTTAAGCGTCTGACTTCGGCTCAGGTCCTGATCTCACGGTCCGTGGGTTCGAGCCCCGCGTCGGGCTCTGTGCCGACAGCTCGGAGTCTGGAGCCTGCTTCGGATTCTGTGTCTCCTCTCTCTCTGCCCCTCCCCTACTCACGCTGTGTCTCTCAAAAATAAAAAAAAAAATAAATTAAAAAAAAAGATTCCCTCTCTGCCCTTGTCTCCCACTCACTCTCTCTCTAAAATGAAATTAAAATTAAAAAAAGGTTTTTTCAAAAATCTTGGATAGTCCTCATTGTCCTTTTAGGAAAAAAAAGTTGTTTTACTCTGAGAGAGACAGAGAGGAGAGAGAAAATCCCAAGCAGGTTCCGTGCTGTCGGCTTAGAGCCCCACGTGAGGCTCGATCTCATACACCATGAGATCATGACCTGAGCCAAAATCAAGAGTCAGACGCTTAATGAACTAAGCCACCAGGTGCCCCAATTGTCTGGGTTTTTTTTAATTCTTTTTTTTTTTTTAACCACAGTAAAATACACATAACATACAATTGACTAGCTTACCCATTTTTAATTTGTATTTATTTTTTAATGCTTATTTGTTTTTGATTAAGAGACAGAGTGCGAGCGTGGGGAGGGGCAGAGAGAAAGAGGGAGACGCAGAATGCGAAGCAGGCTCCGGGCTCCGAGCTGTCGGCACAGAGCCCGACGCGGGGCTCGAACCCACAGACCGGGAGCTCGTGACCTGAGCCGAAGTCGGACGCTCAACTGACTGAGCCACCCAAGCGCCCCTCATTTGTGTCCTTCAAGCCTCCTTCCACCTGCTTGGGTGAAGGGCTGCAGGGTACCTGGTTAGCCCCGCGTGGGCACGTTTCTTTGGCCGTGATGGCCGTGGCTTCTCCATAACCACTCCGTTTGGCCTCATTTATCTCATCTGAGAAATGGGCGTAAAGCTGGCCTTGGAAGGATGCGAGGAGGCGTGGTGCCGGGCGGCTTAAGTAGGACCGTGTCATGACCCATCACGGAAGCTGGTGACATATACAGCCTTCCTCCCGCGGTGCTCATGCGGCAGCTGGCACCTGGTGGAAAAGCTGGAGCCTGGGGGGCTTTTTTCCCCAACCTGACTGGCCGGAAAGCTTTGGGGGGTTGCCACACCGGGTCACGTCCACAGCGGCAGTTGAATGCTTGCGAAACACTTTGGCACACGTGAGGACTGAAGGCGTTCGTGCATAACGATCCCGTGGCGGGGGTACGTGCCGTTAGCCCCCTCAGCCTGGTGGGGAAACTGAGGCACAGGGGGTGGGGGGTGAGTAACTGGTCGCGGGGCACACAGGCTGGGCGGGAACCCAGGCTTCTAGATCCAGGGAAGGTCCTGGGCATCAGTGTGAGACCATGGGGGACAGGAGGCAGGGTCAGGGCTGACCTTTTCTCATCAGCCGGCCGCGTTTGGCAGGGCTCACAAAACAGCGACATCAAGGGTAGTATCGATCCCAGTGCCTGCTGTGTGCGCACCACAGCCCAGGCCCTGTCCTCAGAGACTCTCCGCCAGCAGAGGAGACACAGGGACTGTGGTTATACGCTTTTGGCCCAGGAACACATCGAGGCACGGAGAGGTGAGGTCACCTGCCCGGTGTCGCTCAGCCCACGCACGGCGGAGCGGGGATCTGTCGTTTCACGCCGCGTCTCTTGGCTTCAGGCCGATGGGAGACGGGGGAGGCAGAGGTGCGGAGCTGATCGCTGGCCCGCTGTTTTCCTGTTAACGTGGAAACTCCCCACAACGGCCAGCGACCGGCACCCGAAGCCTTACCAGCTCCCACCCGTCCTGCCACACCTGTCTGGCCTCTCCCCCGCCCCGCTACCACTACTGCTGTTGATTCTTTTCTTTTCTTTTCTTTTCTTTTCTTTTCTTTTCTTTTCTTTTCTTTTTTGTTTTCTTTTTTTTTTTGATAGCGTCTTAAGGTAAAATGTACACATTTTGAGCACACACGCGCAGATCTGAGCCGTTACGTTTTTTTTTTTTTTTAATTTTTTTTTTCAACGTTTATTTATTTTTGGGACAGAGAGAGACAGAGCATGAACGGGGGAGGGGCAGAGAGAGAGGGAGACACAGAATCGGAAACAGGCTCCAGGCTCTGAGCCGTCAGCCCAGAGCCCGACGCGGGGCTCGAACTCGCGGACCGCGAGATCGTGACCTGGCCGAAGTCGGACGCCCAACCGACAGCGCCACCCAGGCACCCCGAGCCGTTACGTTTTAAACCCTCACTTAACCGGCACCTTCACTGGCATCCCCCCAACGCAGAACGTTTTCCTCTCGCCAAAAAGTCCCCCCCCCCCACCGCCGTTCCTTTCTCTGCTGTGACCATCGGAATAAAGACGCACGGATGAAAACATTCTCCTGGGGCGTCTGGGTGGCTCAGTGGGTTAAAGCGTCTGGCTCTCGGTTTTGGCTCAGGTCGTGATCTCGCTGTTCCCGGGATCTGGGATCGAGCCCCGTCTCGGGCTCTGCGCTGACGGCGTGGAACCTGCTTCAGACTCTCCACACACCCC